CACATGCAAAGCGAACGCTCTACCGCTGAGCTACATCCCCACACATCTACAAACTGATCGTAAATTCTTAGATCTTTTCTCCTTAACTTCATCTTGTTGTTAACTGTCCCCTACTTCCCCTCCCTCCTCCCCCCTTCTCTCTCTCTCTCTCTCTCTCTCTCTCTCTCTCTCTCTCTCTCTCTCTCTCACCTTTTATTGACCTCGCGTAACAATGGCCACAGCTGTCGTATGTGAAATACCGCTTGCATACAAGGTCAAATCGTTTTTAACAGAGAGCAAATATTTCAAACAAGAAGACGTGAACATGAAATTACGTTTAAAAAAACCCATCACACTTTTAATCACATTTTAAATTACGATAGCTCTAATACATCGTATTTCTCAGTTCGGGGATAATTAAAACCTCTTCTGGATATAGCACCAGTATTCGGATATGTCATTTGACCGGCACTAAAATCGACAACAACAACAACAACAACAACAACAACAACAACAACAACAACAACAACAACAACGACCATGACTACGACGACGACGACGACAAAAACAGCCACAACAACATCAACTACAACAACAATAAACAGTTTATCTGAGATTTTTATGAAACTAAAATCAGATGTTAACAATTTTGGAGGCAAACTAAATCGCCGTATCCTGCAACTGAGCCTCCCTCAATCTCTGCATAGGATGCAAAACATTTACTATAACTTACCATAACAACAAAACGCGTTTGGAGACAGCATGACGCTCTGTCTGACAAAAATTGGGTATTTCCAAACGCAAGTCAGAACTCGCTTTTGAGACAGGTTCATTCATGTATAGCAAGGGTTTACGGCGCTCGCAACTGCATAAGGTCATAATATGAGCGCCAAGGGGTGGATGTCAACAGAAAAGTCCAAAAGTGGACTTAGGCTTACTCTGCTCACCTCTTTAGCCTCATCAGCACAAAGTCTGCTTCGACTATCAAGGCACCCCGGAAATAGCAGTTCACAAGAGAGTGACAATCATACAAAAGAAGTAGAGGGAAAATGACGATAGTAAGGATGAGGGAAGAAAAAGCAGCAGTTTCCCCTTTGTTTTTCTGGCACAGTATGAGCACGACATTGATATATTAGCCCATTTATAATTCTTCAGTGCATAAGAACACGTTAATATCCGAACTTTTGGAATGGCCTAAAGACAACAGTTTACTTCAGTCAGGAGCCCTGTCCTTGGGGAGGGGAGGGGGGGGGTCAGGTTCAATGTTGATGAAACAAACGTCACAGGCGATAAATGCATCTGAACCTTAGGAAAAAAAGAATGAATGTCGCCTTGGACACTGCTTAAAGAAAAAAAAAACTATTTGAATTTATACCGTCTCTATAGAAGGGGAGCAAGGCTAGTCCTCGATATAAAAAGACGTAATTGCTTTACTTTATACAGTCGTTGCCAAATATATCTAAAAGTTATGGATTTCGTAGCAATTCATCTTCTTCTGCGTCTAAGTGGACTGAAGCAGGCTTCGACCCGTTGCCCCCTGGCCTCCTTTTTTGTCTTTTTTGTGGGGGTAAATGTTTTACGTAACTGCATATTGTCATATGAGCGCGCGAGAGAAACCTAATATTTTCAATCGGTAGGAAATTTTGAATTTTGCCCGAGTAGCGGGCGAAGCCTACTCTTATCGATTTTGGACCACCAAGTGATCTTTAACGTGCACAACTTACACATGGAACCTTCGAGATTTTTTTGCCTTTGTCGGAGAAGGGTAGGTGTAGATCTTTCCTACCAGAAGGAGCCCAGAGGAGGATAGATAGGCAAGCACCCTGCACGTGTAAAACAACAGAAAAAGAACAATGTTAAGCTGAAAAAGCTGAAAGAAAATATTGGAAAAGTCGGAGCGGGACCCAAGGTCATTCACACGTGCCTCTGAGGTGATAGTATGTCTCCAGATGTCACCGTCCGATGTCAGCTTTGTAAAAATCTTAACTCTTTATCTCCAATAGGGAAAAATCCACTATTTCGGGGCTGTCTTTCGGAGCAAAATCTAACATTGACATACTATACACCACTAAATCGGTCATTACATCAATTCAAGGGAACTTATTATGTCATCATATTATTATTTGTATATATATACATATTATATAATATGTTGTTGTTATTTTTTAAATTAGTTCTTCATCTATGGAATGAAATCCCGATAAAAGAGACCTGTTTCGGCAATTGCCAAGAAATAACATGTGAGGCAACGTTGTGGAATCAAGCTCTCGTCAAAATAATGAAATCGAAGAAAACAGCAGTTTTCTCCCTGCTTTGCAATTTTTTTAATCAAATTGTTATTTTTTGGCTCAACACCTTTTATGTCCATTTACAAACACATTCCTTTGAAGATTTCACCGAAAACGTTGATTTAAAGTACAAAAATATAAATTTACAGTTTCCATGGACTCCCCAGCTTTGAAATTTACCAAGCTTTGACGGCCATTTTCTCGCTAATTTTACTTTTTAAATCAGGTCACCCCCGACCTCCTTCAATACAAAATACCTCCACTTCTATTGAAGATGGATGGATAATTTTTTCATTGAAAGCAAGACAATTGAACAAGCTTTAAGATGATATCAATAACTCAATATGCCCAAAAGTTGACCAGAGCCTGATTCCACCACGCTGTCTCACATTTGACGTCAAAGTCGTCGTAAAGAATGCCCGAGCTGCCACAGCTGCCAGCAGTTCACCGCCACATTGTTCTGACCGCGAGACGCTGGGAGCGGCTGGACGGAGATAAGGAGTTAAAGGCCGGATGCCCATCTGCATATTTATTAAGCAAAATTGAATCGGATCGTGTCGATTTATGGGGGCGGCAAGTGTGCACCACGAAATATCACTTTGGCCTCTACGTTTCTTCATCAAATTGAGCTCGGAAGTCAATTAGGGTCTAATACATTCATGCACGAACAGAACAAAAGATTGTTATAGAATTGGTTGTTTTCTTTATATGTGTTACACGTCCCAAAAGGTGACCAGAACAATCAAACATGTCTGATGTTAGAGGATTTGATTAGGTTGCACAAAATGGTATCTTTTGTAATTATATGAAAAAAACACTTGTCCAGAAGTGTCAAATGTACCTCGTGTATCAATAACTAATCTAACATTTGTGCAACCTAGTCAAATCCTCTAAAATCAGACATGTTTAGAATATTCAGAAGAAGAAGAAAAAGAAGAAGAAGAAGAAGAAGAAGAAGAAGAAGAAGAAGAAGAAGAAGAAGAACAACAACAACAACAACAACAACAACAACAACAGTTCTCCTATCAGTGTCTGACGTTGACCATTACATCCGCAGCGGAGAACACTATATTTCTCAATAGAAATAGAAGTACACGTTTCAGAAGAATTAAATGTTAAATGACCCGTGGCTTCTATTGTGGCCGATGAGACCAATTCTGGCAAGTTTGCCACATTGGATATCAATAGTCAGAGATTGAACAAACTTTTCCACTTATTATTGTCACTAGGTATTAGACCAGCTCAAGGGTAAAGCGTTCGCTTTAATTGTAATAGGCCCCATTTAAGTGAAGTAAATAATGACCTATTTCAGTTTCACAAGAATTTCAGACCAGCTGTTGCAGAAATGGTGTGTGTAGCAGATGTGGGTTTTTTTGGTCGTTAACAGTAATGTGAAAAGTACAATACCGCGTTCTGGTGCTGTAATAAAGAGGTCACAATCGTCGTAGTTTGAAATGTGGAGTATTTAAGCCATCGTTAAAAATGTGAGTTTTATAGAGGTTTCATGATCAGGCCTCCAGATTTAGCAATATGTCTGCTCTCTGTTAAAACGATTTGACATGGAGGTAGGACTTGGACTCTTCACATATCGACTTACGGATAAAACAGCCGCACGTGCGACAGATTCGGATCCAGAAAGTAAATAAAAGGGAGAGAGAAGAGGAGGGAAAAGTAAGGGGTGGTAGCAACAGAAAAGTGTTGGGGGGGGGGGGGAGGATTATACTTTAACATGGAGCAAACGATTAAAGATTTAGGCATAGGTTTTCTGTGTTTAGATGTGTGGGGATGTAGCTCAGCGGTAGAGCGTTCGCTTTGCATGTGAAAGGCCCCGGGTTCGAACCCCGGCATCTCCACTTTTTAACTATTTTTTGACTTCTCTTATTTTTCAGAATTGATCATGCTTGTAATAACGGGCGTCTGTGGTGTATCGTTTAGGTGCTTCGCTGTCGTATGCAGGAGACCTGAGTTCTATTTCCAAAAGGGGAAAGAAAAATTAATCGGCGGCCTCGATCTTTGTGCTTGGATGTTGTATACCTCTCAGTCTGGGCCTCATAAATTATCTAAATTGTGTCGATAACGGCTTAATAAAAACACCTACGTTTGTAAAAAAATACCCTTGTTATAGAGATAATAACACTTCCTTTTTCTGATGAGTACATGAACAGATGGTTTTGTCTTAACAGTAATAATTATAACAGTCTTGGGAAAGGGAGAAGCAGCTGACAAGTCCAGTGGCTGAATTCAGCTGTAGGAAGTATGATAGTTCGTTTTCATCAATGTCTGACGATTACCATTACTTCCATAGGAGAAAATATTTCTTGAGCAAATTAGAAACATTAGAATAAATAAAGGTTATTATGGCATGTGGCCTCTTCTGTGACCGACGAGACCAATTCTGGTAGAAAAAAAATGCCGCATTTTGAGCATTTACAATATCCATTTCCTTCTTTTGGAAGTGCATGGAATTCTAATCCACATGAGGTGATGGCACTGTTGCCATTGTGTTTAGAAACTTCTCCCTGATTTTATACTTGAATAGGATAGAGCGTTATATAAATGCAGTATATTATTATCATTATTAATATTGTTATTATTACACACACATAAACACACACACACACACACACACACACATACACAAACACAAACAAACACACACACGCGCGCGCGCACACACACACACATACACACAAGTAAACAATGACTAGATTTGGCAAAGAAAAAAGCGAAACGTTGTTTGAGTGAACGTAACAGCATCTCATCTATTTGTACAAATACTTCTATCGGTACAATCAACATAATATTATTTATCAAAGTGAGATATCACAGCAGGGTACAGAATGGCGATTCCTTCCTCGTACAGGGAACGTTATAGACTATAGCCAGCATTTTCTGGCACGCATTGCTGGTCTGACGAGAGACCTGGACCATTGTCATCAGAAGCAGTACGCATACCAGCAGAGCATAACATAAACTACACTCTTGGGTCGTTTCAAGAATGGGGAGTTTCTATCGTTTGTTTGCGATTTCGCTATCTTAGAATTATAAAGTTCTATCTGCTCGGTACCAAGTTTTGACAAATGTGATGTAAAAAATGTTGGGTTCACAACACGTCAAGTTTTTTCGAATGCAATGCTTTGAATGTCTTGGTAACGCCTCCGAATAATCTTACGATTTTGATAGGTCAGACAGCATATTTGGTTTCTGACCTCTTGGTCTTAGTAATTCAAAATCGCCAAAGATGCCAGAAAGAACTTTGTAATTCAAAGGTTGCGATTAACTAGCATCTTGGACAGAACAAAGAACCAGCTTGTGGAGTCAGTCGAGCACTTTTGCCAGATTTACCGAGAGGTCACTGCTCCTGCCCTCTTCTCCTTCGAAGAACTCGTAAGAATTACTTCCCCTTGCCCCGCAAACCGGATGTTGACCCCTGCGCTGTCTGCAGACCGGGGCATGCGCGCTAGCTCTACGTTGGCTGTCATGGAGGTGTGGGTGTGTCTCGATGAGAGGGGGCGTGTGGAGTGGGCGTGTCGTGAGGAAAAGGGGCGGTTCTGGGATTGCAAAGTGGCGGCAGTGAGAGCTGTCTGCCGGCTGTCTGGTGGACCAGCGCTGTTGGAACGTCCACAACTCTGCCGAGCGTTGCTAGGGGGGTAGTTGACCAGATCCAGCCTTGAGGGGAAATGAAAAGAAATGAGAAAGTGAAGGGGGATAGTAATTATGAAACTACGATTGTGAAAAGAGTTAGGATTTTTAAAAATGTGTTTTATATAGGTTTTTAAAAAATCATATCTTTTACCTAGGTATTTTGCGCCCATATTGACTCGATTGAGATCGTTTTGAAGGTGGACTTCGACCCATTCTGTCTTGGCCAACCTGGGCTGAGAGGGATACACAACGGCTCAGCGGAAATATAGAAATACTCGACTAAAATTCTTCGCACAAGGGAGTCAAACTCAGGTGTTTTTTGTGTGACGGAGAAAAGCCTAAAGGCTACACCACTGACGTCCGCAGATCATAATCAAAATGATTAACATTGACACATTTGAGATTAGGGCTAAAACAGCCCCTGGACATAGATGGCTGGTGCCTCTATAAATAAATCATTGATGGTCAGTTGAGATTAGGTATAGCTTAGCTTATTTACGAGACAGCTAATTTCTACCTCGCTTGTCAGAGGATAAACAAAACATTAATTGTCTTCAAATGTAGGCTCACCTTGAAGAAAGCAATGCAATTTCTCTAGTACATAAGAAATACATGTAATATGTATGCTATTGACTAACATCCGAGACAGAAAAGTAGAGTAGAGATGGTTATTTAAGTGTAATCTGAAAGAGAAAATATTCACTACGTATTTACGTTTTGTTATAAAGAGATCTCGATAAGGAAATGAGATTCTGATCGAAAATTATTTTCGACTTGAGTAAGTCGGTTGCTCACGAGAAAAAAGT